AAAATGTCTCGACGACATGTCGAAGATTTGATTGAAGATGGAACCGACTTGACGACGTGTCAAGGGTTGGATCGTGAGAAATGATATTGGTCCCTAAGGGTGCCTCCAATATCGAAACTACGATGAATTGTGAAGTGCGTGCAATATGTCGACGGTTGCAAATGCGTACCAGCACTCGACCTAGGAAAACGTTTGAAAAATATTTGGTTTGAAAAAGTAGACAAACTGAATAAATAATAAATCAAGAGCGTGCCTCGAGAATTATTTACTCGGAGATTCAAGGAATGCTAGATTCCAAGAACCTCCTTCTTTCAAAGTTTGAATCGAGGAGATATTTTGAAAATAATTTGGATTGAAATGAGGTATGAAAAGTGAGAATACGAGATAGGATTTTGAAAAGTATAGGAGAAATGAAAATTATTTAGTAAATGAGACGTCGGCCTCACAACTAATTAATCGGGGTATCATTTGGATGCTAGATCCTAACAACACCTTTTTCATTCGGAAAATGTTTGGATGAACAATGGAAATATCACACAGAATGCTAGAATCCTATGATATTTCTTTGTTCATAATAGCGTACTAAAAGATGAAATGTCGAACAATATATTACTTAAGGCGTACGCCTCAATAATAATCGTCCAAAAACCAAAGAAGTGCTAGACTTCAAGAATTTAGTTTGTTTTGAAAAAGTATTCGAGGTGAGTCGAGGTCTAAAATTAAATTTTAAGCGTGTGCACTAGCAAAGTGGGCTAGTCTTCTAAGTGACCAACTAGAAATAATTGATCAAATAGGTGTCACTGTAAGGAAGCTCAGGATTAAGCTTTAAAATGTTGTGTATGGTGATCAATGGTTGATGGCAAGACTTTGAAAGCACTCGACTTACACGGGTGAAAAATGACTCGATAAATCGAGAGTTTATTATTTTGAAAATTGTTGAGGCATTCAAGAATAATTAAGGAAAAAGCAATGATAACTATTACACTTGTGGGAGAGGGATACATTTGATCAAATGGGGATAAAATACAACAACAAGTAAATATATAAGATGAATCAAGTCAAGTTTGTCACGATGTGCTATAAAACCGGTTTGTACCTAACGACCCCATATATAATTAGCTAAATCAAGTGCGATAATGATCTTATAAATAAATGACTCATTCATAATTTGTAGTTCATTACTAATTTATTAACTAAAAGTAAATCGTTAATTCATAATAGGATGAATTTTCTAACCAAAACTAAATCATTAGAGTTTATATACAAACTTCATAAGCATAAAATTTTGGATAAAAAACTAATTAAATACTAAACATCATGAGTTATATACAAGTACCATAAACATAAAATCTTGGATAAAAATCTAACTAAATATTAAACATCATGAATTATATACAAATACCATAAACATAAAATCTTTGATAAAAATCTAACTAAATATTAAACATCATGAATTTATATACAAATATGAACAATATCTCGATTGAAATTAAATCTAGGAACACTGTTATCATTTAAGCCAAACAGCATGCGCACAAAATCACTTAATCAACTTAAATATTGTGTCTATATCCATACGGTATTACCGAGTGCACTTTTTAAAATGCATATGCCGATAACCAATACATCCTAACAGCAATTGAAATAAACTACACAGAGTAAACCAATCATTGAAAGTGCATAAATGAGACGGGCATAACCAAATCTAGACGAGTAAAATCTGAACAGAAATCAATCCCAAAATAAAAAGTAAAAAGAGTACCGAACATTGAGCTAGTGAGGTTGTCGCAGAGATTATGTTGTCCCCTGAGTTGTTGTTGCCTACAATCTTTAGACATAGTTGCCATGTTTTTGGCTTCAAAACAAGTCAATTAAAATATGAACAAAAATTAAATCACCGGATTACTGCTGTTACCAGCCCCTATCATCGTCACAGAATCAAAATGCTTTCAGGAGCAAAATTGCTTGTTAACAGACGCTGAGATAGAACAAGGTGGAAGCTTAATCGAAACCGGAGACGTGGAGTTGCAGTAGCTGTGAAATTGAGCCTAATTGACACCCTGATTCATGGAACATATACACTGCGACTTCAAACTCGTATAATTGGAAACGTATCTGATATCGAGATTCAGCAATGTCACAACCTGCACGAAAACTAACAGTAAAACAAAAAATGAACAAAACAGACTCAGTGAAATGCAATCCTCGAAAACGGCATTAAGTTGACGATGTAACTGTTGTTGTGATATTCTTTGCTGTGAATGTTCATGGTGCTGTAAGTGAGAATGGAGCTTTTTGGAAAAAGAAAACACCGTGATGACACTGCGAGGTCGTCGATGATTCGTATTGAAAGCCGGAATTTTTGTTGACACTGAGAAACAAGGGTTGGGCTACGGCAGAGCTGTCGTCGGTGTTGTCAGAATCGTTACGACTCAGAGGCGTTTAGCAATGGAGATGGCAGCTTGCAGCAGAGAAAGGGAGATAATGGTTTTACTTCTTCGTTCGAAGGTGTATGACGGCGGATTTGGGTTTTGAAAGGGAGTTCGTGAGAGAGACTAGGATGATAACGGTTTGATGATGGTTTGAAGCGAGGAAGATGATGAGGGTTTGATTTGAGCGGCGCCGTTTTGAGTAGGAGGGAAGAAGATATACGGTGGGTTTTTGTTGAGGTTAACGGCGGTGATAGTGAGAGAGGAAGGAAAAGTGGAGTTAGGGTTTTGACGTGGGTGACTGCGGCCGTTTTCTCATAACGATGAACAACTCCATCTCCTCTTTAGGGTTTTCCTTCAGTGTCCTTTAAAAAGAACCAGATGAGACTCTTCTTTCTCTATGGGCCAACCGCAATGGGCCTATTTCAAATCCAAAGTTCTTCTTTTTTTTATAATTTTTTTCCAGCAATTAATCAATTAATTAGTAATAAACAAAGACTAATAATATAAACTAATAATTACAATATTAATTAACATGACTAAATAATAAATAGATATTAACAAAACAATTAAATATTAACAATTAAAAGTTGAATAAATATTAAAAATATATAAAAACAAACTAAAATTTATAAAAACGAAAAATAATAACTAAAAAAAAATTATCTGTAATATTTAAAAAAGAAAAAGTTTAAGAAAATAATATTCACAAAATGTTCTTAGGCCACGTGTCACAGCTTAATTGGTCAAAAAGATAAAATTCTAAAAAATCAACCAATTGCGAGCGGACACATGTCTAAATAACAAGAAATTAAGCAAACAATACACAAGTGGAAATAAAATCAAAAAATGCAAAAATATTTGAAAATGAGTAGGACAAATTTAGGGTATGACATTTTGCCATAATATTTGTGGGGTAGAAAAGGGTGTTACATATTATGCACACTTGCCATCATTGAATTTGGCATGCCATAGGGTTGTTCGCGACTAGTTAGAGGCATTGAAAATCCAGGAACATAAGACCTGAATATACTGCTCCCCACTAGAAGGGGGGGGGGGGGGGGGTCATTGATGGACCTTGTGTCCCTGTATAAGACAAAATGGGTTCACTTTGTGCAATCGACTGCACAAGCGTCGTACTTGCTGTGGATGGTACAGATTCAGATATAGACGCTGGAACCGTAGTTCCCCCTGTCGAAGATGAAGGGGGTGGTTTTTGATTATTTGGTGGATTTTGATTCACCATCCTCCTTACGTATTTTCTCCTTTGTCTTTCTTCACTGTTTGTGGCTATTTTACCACTCCTTAGACTCATGCAACGAAGTTAGAGAGATAGTAAAATGAATAACTTATACAAAAAATTTCAAAAAAAGAAAAATATTTTAACAATAGCATTGTCCCACTGGGCGTGCCAATTTGTTTACTGTGAAAATTGGTAAACCATTGCTGGTCTTCAAAAATGGTTTATTTTACAGAATCAACCAGTGAATCTTAAGACATTTGCTTTTGTTAAAACTATATTTGAAAGTCTATGAACACTTCGACAATGTCCATGATTGAAGAATGTTGTTTAAAGTTTAAAAGTAAAAATGTAGAATTGTAAAAGAATTGCAATAAAGAACTTCAAAGTAAATTACAATGAAAAAGTAATTGATAAACTGAAAATAACTTCAATTGAAATGAAAATATGGTAATTCATACGCACATTCTCAACGAACTCTTTTCTCAACAACTTAGATACTTTGAGTAATTTGTGAGTATTTGTACAATGATTGAACACACGAAATCCTATACACTAAGACTCCTATTTATACTAAATGGAAAATAAACGATATCAACGGTCTTTTCTCCAGAAAATGACACATTTTGCTTGCATGTCTTCAATTCACCACAACTTTACACGCGTCACCTTTGAAAATCAGATAAGGACAAAAGATAGTTATCATCCTTATTTAAAATTCAAAACCTTTGTCGGACGCAACCTCAGTATTGCTTTCTTCGAAATTGCAATTTAAGCTCATAAATATTTCTAAGTTTTAATCCAGCGTATCCCTCTTACAAAAGATCTCTTCGAGTAAGATCTTCAACAATGCTCCTGTTGAATCCAAGACATCTTTTTAAAAATATTTCTTTTACTTATCATATTCAATCAAACCTTGACGTCGAAACTTCCGGCTAACCGGTAGTATAAATATTTTGGTAGTAATATGTTTTCTAAAATCTTATAGTGGATAAAAAAAGAGCCAAAATAGCATACATTAATTATAAATCAATAATTTGATAATAGAGGGAAGTCCATAATAACTATGTACCCACCAAAAGTAAAAACTCAACTATCCACTCATACAAAAACTAAACATTAAAATGAAAACAAAACCCAAACAAAACAAAAACTTCATGAGATCTTCAATTTTGTATCATTTGAATCCTCACATGTTTTAAAAACTGAATCAGACATCATAGCATCGATGCTCTGAAACATGGTTAATCCACCTTAAACTTCTCGAACTAGAATGAAATTGCAAACCGATCAATCAGACGAGCCGGATTCGATTATTGAAACACACTTGCTCAAAGCATGCTATCAGCACCAGATGGCAACCTCTTGAAGAAATTACTTGGCACAGAAGGCAACTTGCTCCTAAACTTAGGATGCCTAAGCCAAAAAATCCCAGCAACAGAAATAACCATCTTAAAAGGAGTAACATACAATGCAACCGCTGTAACAAGACAGAAAATCACAAACAAAAACGTTGCTCTTGGATCTCTCCAACTCAACAAAGCTTGAAGCCTCTCACCTTGAGTTGCAATATCCCCAACCACAGTTTGAATCCTTCCAGCCACACTCCTAAGCCTATCATATCTCATTCTTATCACATCTTGCGCCTTAGAAGTCGGAAAAGTATCAAATTCTTCATCTAGTTCATCCGGATGCGCTGCTTCTGCCCACGAAATTTTCGTGTCCATATGTGGAGGATATCTTGACCTTTTCCGAAAATTCCATACTCCAATGAGAAACATGTAGAGGAAAATCGTCGGTAGAATCAATTCTGGATAACATATCAAGATGAAAAATAGAACATGAACCAAAATTGATGTCACCGGATTCTTCCACTTTTGTACTTCACCAATCCATTTACTCATTGAGATTAACCCCGAGAAAAGTGAAACGATTCGGAAGAAATTCGCTTTGCTTCTTCTCAAACTCCATATATGTGAATCAACATCAAGCATGTACTCAACAACTTCTTTCCTCAAAGGTGGCTCTGTTCTTCCTAGCCTCACCGCGACAATGCTCATCGCTTGGTATCTTAAACTATCTAATTGATTCACTGTGAATGGATGCAGGTAATGCATTTTCGGTAGTAAAGGGTGTCCATAAAGGTAAATTATATGCGATAACGAAAGACATGTGAAACGAATAGCGAGTTGAAGTTCTCCCATTTTCTTTAATCCGCTCGGACGTAGAACGAGCAATGGATATGAATTTGTGTAGATTCTATCCATTTCTAAAGTTGATAAACGGATTCGAACTTTACCTATTCTTGCATCAATTGTTTTTGTCGCGCTTTGTTGAGAATTTCCACCACCTAAATGACAGTTATCGAAAACACCGAAAGTAATAACCGTGCAAGGATCATGAACTTCCCATGTGTATTGTTCATTCCATTTTGGATTAAAACTCTCAGTGATTGTTCTTGTTCTAATCCATTTCATACCGTATTTCGCTACACAATACGCATCGGTTGAACTTTTACCATTGCTTGTTTTCATTGGTGTAAGCCCTTGAGCACTCAATATTCCAACTTCAAGAATCCCAATTGGTTGCTTCCATAGTTGTCTAGCAGTTGTTCTTGTATCACTAATATACATTGTTGATTCATCAAGAACATGATAAGCACCTTCAAGACAAACCCTAAGGTGAATCCTACTTGAGAATTTAAGTTCATTACCTTTATCACCTTCAAGAACGCCGAATCCGAATCTCTCCACGTTGTACCACCGCGAATGCACCGGACGATGATCCATCCGCATCTCGAATTTGTTCAATGCTAGGGTTAACTTCGCCACAACTTCATCTTTACCAGGACTTGCCTTGTTCTCGACCGTCAACACAAGCTGTTCTTCGAATGGCTCGGCCGCTACAAATACAAGATCCTCGTTCCAGGTTGGATTCGGCGTTTTTGTCGGACAAAGCTTGGTTTTAAGCACTTGTTGTCCAACTTGAGCTTTAACAAAAACTTGTGGCGGTTGAGTTTTATCATGTGGCTCAACATCTTGAGCTTCAATTACATTAACCCTTAAATACCAAAGTTTCGGATTAACATAAACCTTTGATCGAATATTGTAAACACCTTCGCCTTTTACCGAAGCCGAATCAGAATGCCATGCCTCAGGAAAAGCTTCATCTGCTTGTGTTCCCATCCAAACAGCCAACATAACTTCACCTCTTCTTCTTGTTTCGCCTCTCAAATTCTCGAGTCGATACCATTGAGGTGCTAAAGGACTATCCGGCGGAACTCTTGTTGGAACTTCATGCATATCGAATTCGACTTTTCCAATGTAATCATCTCTAGCTACCATCTCTTTGTCTCTAACAAACACTTCAACGATTGAAGATTGTATCTTTTCTTTCGAGAACGCAAATACTTGTTTCCATTCGGGATTAGTTTTCTTCTCGAAGTGTCTTGTTTTTCCTTTGTAGTTACCAACTTTTACTTCAACGTAAGGATCGACGTTTCCTGTGACCGGATTCGGTGGCAATTCTTTGGCTTTTACGACGCGCACGTAGAGGTAGTACATTTGTTCGACAAGATCGTATGTGCTTGTTGCTCTTTCGCTGTAAATCCAACCCGTACCGCCGCGTTGTCCTCCGTGTGGCCATTTCTCTCCTAGCTCCGGCTTTGTGTCTTTTAGCTTGTAATCATCCGTGTTTGGTTTTGGAGCAGCTTTGGATGAACTCATCTTGTGTATTATGTGTTTTTGTTGAATGGCACAAGTGCGATTTCTATGATCATACACTTCCAATATGAGCAAATTGAGAGTGATTAATTGAGAAATGATAAAGACACTTTTTTACTTCAATTATAAGAAAAGTATCTTGTTGAAGAATCATTCTTACATTATGGAAGCTAAGTTTGGTTCGTTCAACTCCTTCAAATGTGAACTGTTTGAGAATATGATTCTCTAATGAAATAATATAATTTTCTTTCGAATTATGTTAGAGGGACATTCATTATGAGTGCATTTACCTTTATATTGAAAACTTTGTTATTAAATAAAGCACAGATAGAAGAAAAAAAAGTCCAAAATGTTATAAAGAACTATGAAGCTCGACACTCTCTCATAGTAGGCCTCTTGTGGTCACACACGTCGATTTTCGACATTTATATGATTCGTGTTGTCAAATATTAAAATAAATGTTTTTTTTTTCTTTAACACTCTTAAATTTAATGTCCGTATATCATTTATACACAAACAATTTTGTTCAAAAAATAGTGTTTTTTTATTTACTCAATTTAATTTATACATTTTTTTTACAAAGTTTAAATTTATCTAAAAGTGTTAAGGATATATATATATATTAAAACAATTTTATCAATAAAGAACTAAAAACAATACATTTTTATTAAAATATTATTAATTTGTTTAATAATAAATTAATAAATGAAAACTCAATAATATGATATGTCTACTAATACTAATATCGTGTGTTTTTAATATTTTAATTATATTAAGTGTTCTTGTCTATATTATGTCGAAAATAAAGACACTTTGAGTAGATAAAGATAGTCTTTTAGAATAATAAAATAGAGGTATATTTAAATAAAATTTGTAACTTTATTTGATGCTTTTTTGCCTTTCTTCCATGACTTTTCATGAAAAAGCCTTGTATAATTTGATTTTATCTATATAAACTAATGTGACGTGTAGAAGAAAAAAGCAGTTAGTTTGTAACAAAGAAGTTGAAGCAAATAAAGCTATTATGTGTTGAGCATAGAGAAAAAAGGAGAAAGCATCACAGAAAGCTGTGACTCTTGAAAAGTTGCTTTGAACTTATTCTCTCTTCTTTATTCGTCTTTAGCTTAATGTTTGCAAAATTTTGGAATTTTTGCTAGTGGGAGTTTCAGAAGGAAACCGTAGATTTATTTATTGGTCCAATGATGCTTCTTTCACCGCCATTTGGCTTTTTTGCATTTGTTACAAATTGGGGATACAAGAGTATCTCCAATCTGAGAGCAATTTTTGATTACTTATGTCATGTTTGGATTTAAATTCTCACATTGTATTTAAATATTTTTTAAGTAATTTTAACTATTTTTACTCTAATAGTAATTGTAAATATCAATCAATATTTCTCTGTGCTCAACACATAATAGCTTTATTTGCTTCAACTTCTTCTTTATTGGTCCAATGATGCTTCTTTCACCGCCATTTGGCTTTCTTGCATTTGTAACAAATTGGGGATACAAGAGTATCTCCAATCTAAGAACAATTTTTAATTACTTATGTTAGAAAATTTTAACCCATACCCTTATAATTATACCCATATTCCTACACTAAAATTTTTTGGACCAAAATACCCTATTATAAAAAGTTATAATTTTTTCTTTTGTTTATCGGAAGAATTTTTAGAAATTTTCCGGTTCACATTTTTTTGATTTGTTTACCGGAAGACTTTCAAAAAGTCTTCCGGTTCAAATTTTTTTGGTTTGTTTACCGGAAGACTTTTTGAAAATCTTCCGGTTCACATTTTTTTGTTTGTTTACCGGAAGACTTTTTGGAAGTCTTCCGATTCATTTTTTTTTAATTTTTAATTTTTAATTTTTTTTAATATTCAAATTACAAATATATTTATTCTATTTATTCTATTTACTCTATTTTAGTTAATTAATATATTTATTCTATTTATTCTGTAATTTGTTATATTTATTCTATTTATTTATTTAATAATAATTATTTTATTAATTTGATTTTTTATTAATTTACTATATTTATTTACTTAATAATAATTACTCCACTAATTTGGTATTATTTTTTTTTAATCAATAAAAATAAAAGTTGTTAACTAATTTATATATTGATTGTGTTCTTTAAAGAAAGAAAATTAACAATTTAATAATATGTTTATATGAAAAATAAAAATAAATATTATATTTAAATTATAATCCTATCATTTTTTCTATCAAAAATTTTTACCAAAAAATTATAATATATAACATTTATAATTATTTAAACAATATTTTATGGGGTAAAATATTATCTTTTAAAAATATATTTTATGGGGTAAAATATACTTTTAAAAATTTTCACCATAAAATATTAACTTATAAAATTTGTAGGGGTAAAATATTTTATGGGGTAAAATATTAACTTTTAAAATATTAAAAACTAATTAAATCATAAATATTGATCGTCTTTTTTATTTTATTTTATAAGTTTTTTTTATTTAATTAAGCAACCATAAAGGTGGAGGTGGAGGTTTTAAATGTTATTATTTATGATTTAATTAGTTATTAATATTTTAAAAGTTAGTAATTATTGTTTAAATAATTATAAATGTTATATATTATAATTTTTTGGTGAAAATTTTTGATAGAAGAAATGATAGGATTATAATTTAAATATGATATTTATTTTTATTTTTCATATAAACATATTATTAAATTGTTAATTTTCTTTCTTTAAAGAACACAATCAATATATAAATTAGTTAACAACTTTTATTTTTATTGATTAAAAAAAAATAATACCAAATTAGTGGAGTAATTATTATTAAGTAAATAAATATAGTAAATTAATAAAAAACAAATTAGTGGAATAATTATTATTAAATAAATAAATAGAATAAATATAACAAATTACAGAATAAATAGAGTAAATAAAATAAATATATTAATTAACTAAAATAGAGTAAATAGAATAAATAGAGTAAATAGAATAAATATATTTGTAATTTGAATATTAAAAAAAATTAAAAATTAAAAATTAAAAAAAAAAAACATGAACCGGAAGACTTCCAAAAAGTCTTCCGGGAAACAAACCAAAAAAATGTGAACCGGAAGACTTCCAAAAAGTCTTCCGGTAAACAAATAAAAAAAAATGTGAACCGGAAGACTTCCAAAAAGTCTTTCGGTAAACAAACGAAAAATTATAACTTTTTATACAAGGGTATTTTGGTCCAAAAAATTTTAGTGTAGGGGTATGGGTATAATTGTAGGGGTATGGGGTAAAATTTCCCTTATGTTATGTTTGGATTTAAATTCTCAGATTGTATTTAAATATTTTTTAAGTAATTTTAACTATTTTTACTCTATTAGTAATTGTAAATATCAATCAATATTTAATTTCATAAATTTATACTCATTCTGTTTTATAATGAATGACCCATTTAAAATAAATAAGTGTCCTAAAATAAATGTCTCGTTTTAATTTTTAATGCACATTTTCAATTTTATACTCTAATTAATATTATTTTCACCATTCTCACTATTTGATAAAAAGTAGGGAAATGCTAACGAGTGCCCTCAGGACATTGGTTAAGAGATTAAAATGGTAAGTTGGGTATTATTTAAGAGATTGAAAATACATTTTTTTTCTAAATATATGTGTATTCAATGCCCTGAAAAGAGAAATAATCAGACTTTTTAAAAAATATTGTGTGTATTGAGTGAACTAAATATAACATATTTTCCTTATTTGGAATTCTTAACTAGTGCCCTGAGGGCACTAGTTAGCATGACCCTAAAAAGTATTTTAATAAGAATATCATTCTCTCTTTCATTTATTCTTTTTTTAAATATGTGTGAAAGGATCAACTTGATCATTTATTATGGGACAGAGGAAATATTATTTTATTTATACTATATTTTAATAATTACTTTTGAATTGAATTGGTTCGAAAATATGTTAAGTTCTTTATTTTTGAGATTGTTTCAGCAAATTTTATCTCTTAAATTTAAGAGATCAATGTTATCATATATCTCGTACCTCTAAAAATAAAAACAAAATCTTGCGATACGCAATCGCCCGCTCGTGGGATGGACTTAATAGAGTGGCCATAGAATTTTATTTATTTTCAAAGAGGAAAAGGGAAATTTTCGATAAAATCTCTAAAGAACGATAAGGATATGGTTCTCGCAACTAAATTAGGGTTCGAGAGTCAATTACGCAAGGGAAAGGCACCCCGCACGTCCATTGTACTCAACATGATATGTTTGACTAGTTGTGTGCATTAGTGTTAGCTTAGAAATGTTAGGTTTCTTAATTTGTTAAGAGGAAAGGAAAGGACAAAAAAATTCATTTTTATATTAGGGTTCTTGACAAGATTTCGCAATCCTGCTTGTAACGCCCCGATTCTGATTTCTCATTTTTGTTGAGTCTTTTTGATTTAATTGAGTGATTATTATTTTAATTGTGGAATTTATGTGTTAATATGTTATGTTTGCATATTATGCTATTTTACCGATTTTGAGAGTTTTTGGGGAATATAGGTTGAACGGTATTTTAGACATTTAGTATTTAATGTTAAGTTAGATATTTTGTGAGAAAATGGATTTAATAGATATTTAGAGAGAAATAGAATAGAAAGAATATAAGTGGAAAGAGGAGAGAAAAGAGATAGAAATAGAAAGAAGAGAAAAAGAAGAGAAAGAAAGAGAGAAGAGGAGAAAAGAGGAAAGCTTGGAGAATCATCAAGAATAACATCTAGGCTTCGATTAAATCGGGTAAGGGTGTGAAATGTTATTATCTTATCAATGTTTATGATTATGTATGTGTTTGTTAAATTGGTTTGGATTGTTGGAGAGTTTTTGTTCATTTTCCATTTTAGGGCAGAAATGAGTTTAATCGGTAGAATCAATGTTTTAACGGTTAAGATTGATAATAAATGGCGTAGTTTAGTCGAGGAATGTTAGGCTAAGATTACTGGAAGTCTTTGGAATTGAATCGGTCGACTTGGTGAT